GGAGTTTGTTTTTCTCATCCACCTTCTGCCAGATGAGGATAAAACATATCTCCTCTTTGGAGCATGCACTGTTTGTTCAAGGCACCATCTTGTAAGCAGAGGCCAGACCCTCACCAGACATCAAAGCTGCCACTGCCTCATCTTACCATTCCCAGCATCCAGAACAGTGATAAGTATATTTCTGTTCATTATAAATTACCCTGTCTCAGGTATTTTGTTTAAACAAACTATGACATTCAACACACTAGGAATGGATGAGAATTTCCTCAATCTGGTCATTCGGGCGTCTACAAAAAGATCCCTGTTAACACTTAATGGTAAAACACTAAATGCTTTCCCGCTAAGATCAGGAACAAGAAAAGGGTGTCCTCTCTTCCCCTTCTATTCAACATTGTACTAGAGGTTCTAGACAAGGCTATTAGACAAAAAAAAAAAAAAAAGACATTAACTTCATCCAGATTGGGGACAAAGAAGTAAAGCTATGTCTATTGGTAAATAACATGATCTGTGTATAGAAAATCTCAAGAAATCCACTAAAAAATAATTAGAACATAAAGACGAATATAGCAAGTTTACAGGGTACAAGTTCAATATTTAAAAAACGGATTGTGTTTCTATACAGTAAAAATGAAGAGTCTGAAGTTAGAATTAAGAAAACAATTCCAGTGTAACACCAAGAAGAAGTGTTCCGAACCCCATACTGGGCCGACACCAAAAAAAAAAAAAAAAAACTTGTACACAAGTGCCCATAGTAGCACTATTCACAGTAGCCAAAAAGTGGCAACTCAAATGTCCATCAACTGATGAATGGATAAACAAAATGTGGGATGTTCAGGCAATGGAGTATTGTTCAGCCATAAAAACCAATAAAATACTGAAGCATGCTAAAATGAGGGTGAACCCTGAAACATGCTAAGTAAAGAAGGCAGACACAAAAGGCCACATCATGCATGATTTCCATTTCATGAAATATCCACAAAAGGCAAATCCATAGAGACAGAGAGCAGGTTGGGGTTGCCCAGGGCAGGGGAGGGGAGCATGAGTAATGACTGCTTTCGAGGCATGTGAGGTTTTATGGGGGTGAAGAATGTTCTCGAACAAGAGAGTGGAGATAGTGCACAACGTTGTGAGTGTAATAATGCCACTGAACTGCAAGATTCAGAATGCTAAATTTTATTCTATGTGCATTTTATCACAATAAAAATAAACAGTTCAGACACTCTGAAATACAGTCTGGCAGTTCCTCAAAAGATTAACCTTACAGTTACCACACAACCCAGCAATTCCACACCTAGGTGTACACCTAAGAGAATTTAAAACAGATGTCCACACAACTTGTACACGAGTGCTCACAGCACCTTTATTCATCATAAGCAAGAAGTGGAAACAACCTAAACGTCCATCACCTAATGAGTAGATACATACAGTGTGGTTTATCCACAGAATGGAATATTATAGAACAATCAACAGTTATCCTATAACACGGATGAACCATGAAAATCTTAAGAGAAAAAAGTGAGCCACATATTGTGTGATTCCATTTCTACAAAATATACAGAGTAAGCAAATCCACAGAGACAGAAAGATACATGGAGGCAGGGGTGGGGGCAGGAAGGAATGAGGAGTGATATAGGAATGGGTATATTTAGGAGATGACTGAAAATGTTCCAAAATTGAATGTGGTGATGGTTGCAC